AAGATACAGACTACCGTGAATGAATCGGGCAGCTTCTGGTGCCCTTTTAGGATTAGTTCAGAAGTTCATGGCACTAACTCCAACTCAGGCACCAGCTCTGCCTTTTGTTCAATTCCTGTTTTATTTTGACCTGTGAATTTCAGCTGGTTCTGAGAATGGAACTTGAGAGAAGAACTCCTTCCCTTGTGGGAGGTCCTAAGGAGACGTGGATCATTCGGAGGCCAGCTCCCCGGATGGGGCCGCTGTGCGCGTGTGAGGCTGCAGCAGTCATAGAGGGATTAGGTTACTATAAGGCACTAATTTTCTCTAGTACCAGGGACCAAAGACGACCAGAAACAGAGGTCTTCAGTTCAGTTTGAAGAGCTTGAGATACCTAGAGACTGCGGCTAGTGGGAAATTCCCAAATTCTACCCAGAGAGTCAGGCTGGATGACCTGTGTGGAAACAGAAACTGGAACTTAAGAAACCTTTTATTTGGCTGTGAGGACATGAGGAGGAGGGCGAAAGAGAGCTCACAGCCCGTAGGCTCAGAGAGCTGAGACAGAAGAGGCACTTGGAGAACCCAGCTTCCCTCTGTCTCTGAGATACTGAGTAGAGTGAGAAAGAAGCCTGCCTTCCTCTTTGTCTCGAGAGGACACAGTTCCTGATCTATTTCTCCTACAGGAAGGGCTATGTCTTCTGGAAGGACTACAGAGACTTCCTGATCAACAAGGAGTCAGAGAACATCAAGTCCAGGGATGAAATAGAGGATGCTTTCCAAGCCCTGGCAGAGGACAAGGCCTATATCACCGAAGAGGACATGGAGCAGGTCAGATCCCGGTTGCCTCCACCCTCATTATGCTCTCATTGCAATCTAGATTTTGCTCATCTCAGGCCTGGCTGCCTCCTGCAGGCAACTATCCTCCCCGCCACCATTTTTTGTTTCCCTCAGATGTTGTCATGCACTAGATATCATTTGTTTTGGTCGCTACCTCATGCTGTCTGGACCCAGCGCTAAAATCAGCAGTCAATCTCTGATGACTATCAGTGTTAACCCCACACGTGCTACTTGGGTTTTAAGGCCATTATTTTATCCTGTTTATTTAATAAACCAAATTTAGGGGATGGGATAAATTGTGCAGTCAGTGTCAGAGGGGATTCTTCAGTAAGAACTGAGTTGAAGAGATGAGTCGGTCTTACACATTAGAAATGGTAGATTTAGAAAAAAATTTTATTGAAGTATAGTTGATTCACAATGCTGTGTTAGTTTCTAGTGTACAGCAAAGCGATTCAGTTATACATACATATATATATTCTTTTCTTTTCCATTACAGTTTATTACAGGGTATTGAATATGGTTCCCTGTGCTATATAGTAGGATCTTGTTGTTTATCTATTTTATGTATGTATTGTATCTACTAATCCCCTCCCCCTCCCCACAAAAAGACATTATTATAGATTCATGAGAAAAGCACATGATAGGACCAGGGCTGGTTGCTTCTTCCAGAGTCTCTCCACTTCCTGGGTTTAGGGCATATTGGAAGCCCCTGTTGGGCCAGCTATTTTGAATCCCTATTACTACATCTTTTTACTGCATCTTTTTTTTTTTTCATGTTTCAGGCCCTAACCCCAGAACAAGTGTCATTCTGTACCTCACATATGCAGCAGTATGTGGACCCACAGGGCCAAAGCTACCCTGATGGCTACGATTATATTGGCTTCACCAATTCTTATTTTGGCAACTGATAAGCAGCTTTTCTTGGGTCGTAGAGAATCTTGGTGTTGTGGGAAGTACTGGGGGATGAAGGAGACAGGCAAGTATGGAGGGTGGGAAGACAGTCTTGTGTGTGTGTGTGTGTGTGTGTTGCATTTATTGCAGGACCTGAAAAAACTGCAAGCTTGGGAGATAAAGGCATTAACAGAGTTGGAGAAGATGGGTTTACTTTGTACGTAACTCATCACTGCTGAGGAGTGTTAAGCAAGGTCTCGATTTTTATTTGTTGGGTTCTACACATCTTTATTATTTTGTTTTGTTCTGATTATAGAATAAAGTATTTCCTTTTTTAAAAAAGAATTTTTGACATTCTTCTTTTTTAATAGGGCAATGTGAAGTAAAATGTTACTGACTCAACTGGGTTTCTATATTTCTGAGAAATGTACTGTCATCTAAATACAGGCAGCTAAATATACTGTAAATACAAGCCATGGTAGTCTACACATATACGATCCAAGATAATTTACAGTGTTCCCTGAGCTTGGAATGTATTTAAATTCTTACATTTAAAAATGAAGATATTTGATATTTTGGGAAACCCCAGTATTTTCTTCTGTAAAATGAAACCACACAGAGAAGCCCAGCATAACACCCATTTTCTTCTTAATCTGTCCATTCTTCACCCATTCCCATTAGAGTGCGTGCCACCTTGAACTACGTAACAAATATGGTAGGTTGAAGTGATACTGCCTAGAAACTCCAAATAATAATAGATGGTTATATTGTGTATTTCTTGTATGGCAGGATCTAAAGACTTTATCTTAGTCATCGCAAAAACAGGCACTATTCAATCGACACTACTAAAATTCCATTTTGCAATTGAGAAAATAGAGGCACAGAAATGTTGAAGAACTTCCTCTAGTTCACACATCTAAAACATGGCAAAGCTAGGCTATAAATCCAGCAAGTGTGACTCTCCAGAGCGTCTCGGCTCTTTAAAGGACATTGAATCGGGCTTATGCGGTCATGTTCACATCAGAGGGACTCCTGCTTTGTTATGGGTGTATGTGTGTAGGTACCTGGGAGGAGGATTTGTTCTTTTTAAACACACGGTCACATTCTTAACCAAGGGAGGGGATTTGAATCACCGAGGGAGACTTTGTAAATGATTTCTGCCTGCCCCTACCCCAGACCAACTGTGTCAAGGTCTATAGAGATGGCTCCTAGGAACATATTCTGAAAGATCCCTGTGCGAGTTTTATACCAGTTCAGACTTAAGATTACTATGTTTGGAAGGTAGCTAGAACTTTGCATATTACTTATCTAGAAGAACTGCATGAGTTTTGGAATTGAATTTGCTCAAAAAGCCTCAGTGCGATGAGGGGATTACCTTCAGACTTAGTGAAAAGGACCTTAGAGTAAATAGCTTTTCTCCCCTGATTCTAGTCCTTTCTGTCATTACTTCTCTACAACCTAGTCTTTTGTCTTGTACTTGCTTTCTTCCCCCCAAATTTGATTTCCACCAAATTCTAACTAAAGGATGTGTTTCTTCCCTGAGAACATGGATAATATTGATTCCTCCCTGAAAAAATATCCCCCCAGTGTAAGTTCTTCCCTCTCTCTTAAGTCTTGTTCCACTTCTAATTCATTGATGAATGACATGAGTGCTACATTTTCAAGATTTCTCATGTTTGCAGTTTCCTTCGGTTTCCGATGCCTCTATCCATGTTCAGGTCTCTTTGCCTTTCTTTAGGATAATGACAATGGATTCCTTATCGTTCTCCTTGTCTCTGTCTTCTTCCTGCCGAGATTTAGCATCCTCTCTGCTACTGGGTCAATCTTCCTAAGTCACTTCCCAGATTTGACTCCACTCTCTGCTCGAAGGTTTACTGTGTCCTATCTTCCACTGCCAAAAGCATCAAGTCTGAAGTAAGGTATTCAGCATGCTGTCCACAAAGAAGTCTTAATGCAAGTTAACTTCCCACATCATTTGTGAGACATTTTCAGTCCCTCTGGACAACTCACCAAATTCTGTAATAGGCCTATGTTCTCTTGCCACTGAGAATTTAGTTATTCTGTTCTCTCTTCTTAGAATACACTTACTTTCTTTCTGCTTACTGCACTCAAAATTCACCCATTCTTTAGGAACAAGTTCAAGTACTACCTTAGACATGAAGCCTCCTCTGAGTGTCCATGGAGAATGACATCTCCCTAAACAAGAGCCAATGTCTCTTTGCATAACACATTCTCAATAGTAGCAGCTGACATTTACTGGAAGGTCATTATGATCCATGTATTGCACTAAATTCTTTATATGCATGACCTTGTTTAGTCAACAGTGCAAAACTGTGAAGTTACAACCATTTCGCAGATGAGGACTTCAAAGCTGAGAAAGGTTAAATAAATTACCCAGAGTCACACTGTAAGTGGCAAAAACGTGTATTCAAACTCTTACCTGAAGGCTGTGTGAATACCTTTACGGATCCCTAAGAATTCCTGGTATCACGCATGACATATTGTAGATGGAAAGTGAAATAGGCAGGATAGAGTGTCCCCACCACAGAACCCGAAGAATGGTGTCCATGCTAGAGAGTGACCCAAGTGCTGAGGTCCTGGGCGCCCAAGATGAGGGGGCCACTGGGGAGCAACGCCAATTGTCAAGCAAAATAGGAAACAAACATCTCTTCTGAGATAGAATCCACTCAACTGGGAGAGCCAATTAAAAAGAAGGGGGAGAAGTGAAAATGAGCCAGAGACAAAGAAGACAACAACATCAAAAGATGAAAGATACCCAGTGGGAGGAAGAACATAACAACTGACCTTTCCATTTAGCAAAGCACTCCAACTGATTTGCCAGCCTGATAGTCACTGAGCTTCAGATCTTGGAAGAACATTTTTGGTGAGATAGCCTAATTATGTAATGATTTTAGAACTCTCCACAGTATTCCTGGCAGGGCCCCAGCCAGCCCTGCTTTGCACTTGGGCACTCCAAGCTCCTCTCATCTTCTTCAGCTCAGTTAGAAAATTCTTAATCAGTTGGGTTTCAGGCACTAGGAGTGGCCTCTGTGAGGCTGAAAGTGAAAATTCAGATTCTGAGCTCAGTGTGAGTTCAGCACAGTGAACAGAGCAGGAAGCTCTGCCTGCGCGCTCCAGAGCAGCCCTGGGAGGAACACAAAGACAGAATGAGGCGCTCTCAGGGAACTGGGGATGGGGCAGCTGCGGCCCAAGACCCTGAAGATCTGGTCGGTTGACCTTGGCTTCTGCTGTGTCTGGCCTACGCAGAGGAGACTGTCCCATTAGGGCAGTTTTCACCCTTTACCCAGCAGTTGCCCCTGGAAAGCATTTCTCAGGGCTGTCTGCACAGCCCGATTTCTTAGGCTATAAATGATGGGATTAAGGAGAGGTGTCACCACAGTGTAGGTGACAGCAATAAGCTGGTCCCGCTCAAGAGAGTAACTGGCTTTGGGCCTCAAGTACATGAAAGAGGCACAGCCATAGTGAACGATGACCACTGTGAGGTGTGAGGCGCAGGTGGAGAAGGCCTTCTTCCGCCCCTCAGTGGAGGGGATCCTCAGAATTGCTGCCAGGATGTAGGTGTAGGAGACAATGATGAAGGAGAAGGAGACCACGAGGACCAGCAGGCTGAGGATGAGGACCCCCAGCTCACTCAGGCCTGTATCTCCACAGGCCAGGCTCAGCACTGGTGGCGTGTCACAAAAAAAGTGCTGGATCTCATGGGAGCTGCAGAATGGGAGGTGGAAAATGACCAGGGTCATTCCCAGCCCAAAGAGGTACCCACTCAGAAAGGAAGTGCCAACCAGCTGGGCACAGAGGGTAGGAACCATGCGGCTGGCATAGCGCAGTGGGGTGCAGATGGCCACATACCTGTCAAAGCCCATAACAGCCAGGAGGAAGCAGTTGGTACAGGCCCACGAAGCAGAGAAGAACATTTGAACAGCACAGCCCACGAAGGAGATGTCCTGCCCACCCCTAACCAGGCTGGAGAGCATCCTAGGGATGATGCCCAAGGTATAGCAGGTCTCAGAGAAAGATAAGAAAGAAAGGAAGAGATACATGGGGGTGTGCAGATGGCTGTCCAACCTGATGAGTACAATAATGAAGACATTGCTGGTCAGGGTGACAAGATACAGGGAGAGGAACAATGCAAAGAGCAGGAGTTGCAGTTCCCCAAAGCGAGAGAAGCCCGTGAAGACAAAGCCCTTCCAGGAGGTTGCATTGGTCTGCCCCATTCTGAGTGGTACCCCTGATGGGTTCGACTCCTTCTCCCTTGCCTGCGGACGCCTAGCTTCTTTAGAAGGCAGGATGATGCGAGTTCTTGTTTATTTGTACCTGTTGTAACTCAAAAAGAAAGCTCTGATTTAGGAAGCAACAAACTTCAGAAAAATACTTACTACCTTAGACATACAGACGTATGGATCCATTCTCACATGCGTTAAGTGCATTCACAAATACAAAGATACACAATATGCACGTATGTGCACACACACACATTACTATACATATGCAGGCACAGATGTATATACACACCACATGCAAAGCACTCACTCATAATTATGCACATTTTGCATGTTCAAAAGTATGCCCATTAACGACCAAATCCACAAATATATCAGGCATTCAGGTACATTATAAATGCATATATATATTTAGATAGCACACACATATGTAGATATGTACACCACAGACATTTATATCAATGTCATACATACACTGCCACCCAATACACATGTGGACACATACACAGTACCTGTCAAAACTTGACTTTGGGTGCCTTGATGGATATTATTTTATAGATCAAGAAACAGAACCAAGAGGGTGAAGTGACTTTCTTGAAGTCACAAAAAACCAAGGCAAGAGAAAAAAGTGCTTTGGGTTCTAATCTAACGTTTTCCCCAAACAAGGATGACTCTTCTTAGACATTGTGGGACATTCACTAACATGAATACAGAATAAGAAATGGTTTGTGCAACAATATCCCTTGTGTCTATAACATCCTTCCCACGGCCCTTTTTCATGTGAGTCTATGCAGAACCCTGAAGGAAGAATCAGGGCTCTGGGCAAGTTGCATGTCCCTCAGCCCAAAGATCAGCTGTCAGGCTCCACTGTCTTTTGGAGGCTAGCCAAGGGAGGATTCTCCACTCACAAGAAAAGGCTCACAGTGGGAAAGTCCTGCCTTTCAGCAGCTGTGTACTAGACTGACCCACAGCAGGCCTGCCTGTAGGAGAAAGGACCTGAGATGCATCTCAGAAACTCCTATTCTGAGCAAAGACTGACGTTCCAAGTGGTATCAGGGAAACACCCCTACCCCTGTCCCCAGGTGGTGAATCATATCTGTTTTCACCCAAACAGCTCCTCTCTCTCTGAAGGTTCCCCAGTCCCAGTGGGTGCTGTTTCAGGAAGCGATCTACTTGTGCTTGTCGTTAACTAGGAATACTCTTCTGGGAAAAGCAGACAAGGAAATGTGAAGAAAGGGATGCTAGGATTGTGACCCAAACAATCATTTATCTATCTATTTTGTGCTAAATTTTGTATCATGTTCACGTGTTAAATCTATTTTAAAATTTACAAGGACTTAGTAAGAAAGTGTTAATAGTTGCATTTTATGGAAAAAGAAAATGAACCTGACAGGGTGTAAGCGATCAGTCCAAGATCACAAAACTTAAAGTTGATACTTTTAAATTTACCTGTAAGCGGTATAGAAAGAAAACAGGAATTAATCTTCTCTCACTGTTGTCTCAAGAGCTTGAGATGATCACTCCTGATGCTCTTCTAGTTTTGAAGTTATATACACACTCGCACTGATATACCGAGAATACTCCAAACTCCCCTAGTTCTATTTCTTCTTGTGTCCTCAACTGTCTATCCCACTTCCTTCAGACACATTTCTAAAGGTAACTTTACCTTATTTGCATCTTCTTTTTCTTTCTTTCCACAATACTGCAACATCTGCACCCAGATTTCCAATCTATCACTCAGATTATTCTGAAACCTGAAAATGTCCAGAAAGTCTACCCAGATTAGTCGTTTTATCTAACCCTTCACTCTCAACATGCATTTTTCTCTAGTATGCTAATGCTGGGAATACGGGCACCTCCAATATACATTGTCACCCATTCACTGATTCAACAGAAACAATAATGATAAGTGTTAACATATATTGCATGCCAGGCTTTTTACTAACCTCATTATATGAGTTTAACACTCTCAGTATTTAAAGATGATTACTAATACCCTCATTTTTTCACATTAAAAAACTGAGACATGGAAAAATTAAATAATTTACTGAATATAAGACAGACTTTTGGTAACCCAGTGGCAAGTAGACTCAAGAAACCATTCTCTTAACTACCACATAATCCCTGGCACTCTACATTGGTTAGGAGGATCCAAAAGAGGAGTAAGTTGAGGAAACGAGGATAACATTAGTATAACTATTGACTTTATAGCAATTTCCACTGCACTGAATTTTATTTGTTGGTCTAAAGATTATAGCATGCATCTTTAACTCACCGTAATCTACGTAAATTTAATAATGAATTACCTCCAGTAAAATATAGAAAATTTGCAATAGCATACTTCCATTTACTTAAATCCACCAACACATTGTTATAATTTTAAAATAGGCATATGCTTCTGTTTATAATCCTTTATATTTAACCGTACATTTTCCATTTTCTGGTTTTTTCCTTCTTTTCTGTATAACTAAGTTATCATGGGTTACTTTTTCCTCATTCTGAAGTACTCTTATACTGCGTGTTTGCTAGTGACAAATTATTTACATTTTCATCTGAGAAGGTCTTCATTTTGTCTTTATTCATGAAATATAGTTTTGCTGGATTATGAAAAATTCTTGATCAACAGGGTCTTTTTTTCGTGTTTCCATATGACATTTAATGTATCTGTCCCCTCTAATTTCTGATGAAAATGTTACAATTAGGTGCTTCATCATTTTGCACTAAGTAATGTGTCAGAATTTCTCTTGCTGTTTCAATATTTGCTCTTTACCTTCAGCTAGCAGCAATTTGATTATGACGTACCTCTGTGTGATTTTTGTGTTTTTCTTACTTGTGGTTGTTGAACATTTTTAGTTTGTAAGTTATTGTCTTCTATCAAATTCAGGAAGTTTTTAACTATCGTTTTTTCAAATATATTCTTCCTCTTTATCTTTTTGTTTCCTTCTGACATTCCAATGACACATGTGTTAGACCACGTGATGCTGTCTCAAAAATCTCAAAGAATTTGTTCATTTCATCTTTATTTTTTCCTCTTCAGGTCAAATAATTTCTATTGATTTATTTTCGAATTCAATGATCCTTTATTATATAAACCCCAAAACACTGTTATGCCTATTTCATGAATTTTCATTGCAGCTATTATGTCTTTAAATCTTAGATTTCCAATTATTTCCTTTTTATAACTTCCCTTTTCCCACTAATGTTTTCCATCAATTCACTATTTAATACAATACTTCTCATTCATTTTTTGAATATACTTACAGTAATGGACGTAAATACTACTGCAAAATCCAAATTGTGGGTTCACTTGGAGTTAAATACACAACCTACTGTCAGCCAAGGGAGGCTGAAGTGTGATTCTAAGAGGCGAGCGGCCCAACCGAAAAAATGCACGAGGAGCTGCCACACGGCAAAACAGACTTCACCCGGAGCGAACATGGAGTTTACAGCACTTTGTTCTATTTCCACAAGATGGGGCGTGCACCCTGCTTTTTATCAAGTTTCTGCCAGTACATGCACAGTGTGAATTTCTTGTTCATGAGGCTTACAGAATATCTCTAGCACATGTGTACTTCTATTTTCTTTGTTCTAAATCTTATATAATTGACGTGTGTGTGTACAATCATTATTTACTGCATACTACAGACATGCTGTAATCATGGCCTTGGGTCCCACGGCCTTTACTCATCTCAAGGTCACTGACACCTACCAATACTGAATCATAAGAAATGAAAAAATATGAATAGACAAACATGTAGAGACTTAATCAGTAATCAAAAATCTCTCCACAAAGAAAAACCAAGGACCAGATGGTTTCATAAGTGAATTCTACCAAAATTTAAAGAGGAATTGATGCCAATCCTTGTCAAAATCTCCTGGAACATTGAAAAGGAGGGAACACTCCCAACCTCATTTATGAGGCCAGCATTACCTTGATACCAAAGTCAGATAAAGACACTACAAGAAAGAAAACCACAGGCCAATATCCCTGATTATTTTGGAAGCAAAAATCCTCAATAAAGTATTATAAAAATTTTTTTCCAAAGAATCAAGTGATCTTGATCATACCATGATCAAGTGGAGTTTATTCCTGAGATGTAAGAATAACATATGCAAATCAATAAATATGATACATCATATTAATGAAATGAAAGATAAAAATAATGCAATAATCTGAATAGATACAGAAAAATTATTTGATAAAATTCAACAATAAATTTGGTTAGAATAATGTACCTCAACATAATGAAGGTCATATATGATAAGCCAACAGTTAACATCATACTCAATGATGAAAGACTGAAAGCTTCTGCTCTAAGATTAGGAATAAAACAAAGGTGCCCACTCTCACCACTCCTTTTCAACACAGTACAGGAGTTCTAGCCAGAGCAATCAGGCAAGGAAAAGAAATAAAAGGTATAAGAATTGGAAAGAAAGAAATAGACTGGAACCCCACCACTCACAAAAATGAACTCTAAATGAATTAAAGACTTCACTTTAAGAACTGAAACCATAAAACTTCTAAAAGAAAACATGAGGAAAAGTTCCTTCACAATGTGCTTGACGATGATTTTTTTGGATATGACACCAAAAAAACAAGCAACAAATTGAAAAACAAACAAGTGTGATAACATCAAAGTAAAAATTTCTACACAGTAAGTAAAAGAGCAAAATAATTAAAAGGCAACTGAAAAACTGGGAGATAATATTTGCAGATCACACATCTGCTAAGGGGTTAATATCCAAAATATATAAGGAATTTACAGAACTCGGCAGCAAAAAAAACAAATAATCTGATATTAAGATGGGCAAGGAATCTGAATAGACATTTTTCCAAAGAAGATAACAGGTATATGAAAAGAAAATATTTGCAAACCTTTTATCTGGTGAGGAATTAATATCCCAAATATGTAACAAACTCATAGCAAAAGCAAAACAAAATAAAAAGAATAATCCATTTTTTTAAATGGGCAAAAAAGACTTGACATTTTTCCGAAGAAGACACAAATGGCCAACGGGTATGAAAGGGTGATCAGTATTACTAAT